TACTTGTCTACCTTTCCAAGTTCGTTCAGCTTCGTCTTGTACAACCACTTTACTCCTATAGGCTTTGTTCCAGCTGGAGGCTCAACCAATTCCCAAGTATGGTTCCTTTCTATAGCAGTCATCTCGGCATTCATCGCTTGAACCCACTTCTCATCTTGGCTTGCTTCTTCGTACATCACCGGGTCGTCCATTGCACTATACATTGCAAAACCAGCTTCATCTTCATCAAATGGGTCTTGATCTGCATAATAGTCATCCATCCACACAGGTGGTCTTCGTGTGCGAGTGGATGATTCCGGTTGCATAGCCGGTATGCTTTGATCCTGTGAATTTTCAGTAGTAGTCGAGACTGGATTGTTAGCAACATCATGAGCATTTTGAGTTTGTGATTTACCTTGAACCGGTGAACGTTCTTCATTTTCAGAATTCTGTGTTGTGCTGGGAATGTTTAGAGAATCGTCTACGCCTTCATTTCCATCTTGACTCCCTTCTACCTTTTCATCATCTTCTATGATGAACTCTTCCGCTTTCTGATTTTCTTTAGACCAGTCCCARGCTACATCCTCATCGAATATCACGTCTCTGCTGATCACAATTTTCTGACTTGATGGGTCATACAAACGGTAGGCTTTTGATTCTTGGCTAACACCAAGAAATACACACTTGTGACTCCTTGCATCCAGYTTTGTTCGCAATTGAGCAGGTATATGGACATGCCCTATGCATCCAAATACCTTAAAATGCTCAACACTTGGTTTTGAGCCCGTCCAAAACTCTTCTGGTACCTTATCATCAAGGCTCCTGCTCATACACCTGTTTAACAAATGGCACGCCCACTTTGCTGCTTCTGCCCAAAAATATTTGGGCATTGATTTTTCAGCTAATAAACACCGAACCATATTCATTAAGGTTAGGTTTCGTCGCTCAGCAACCCCATTTTGTTGTGGGGTGTAGGCGGCAGTTAGCTGTCGTTTAATACCTTGAGCTTCACAAAACTCATTAAAAGAATTTGAGGTGAACTCACCTCCTCTATCGCTCCTCAAACACTTGATATTCATGCCAGTTTCTTTTTCCACAGATTTTTTAAAGTTTTTAAACACTTCAAAACTTTCATTTTTCTGTGATAAGAAATAAACCCAGGACTTTCGTGTGTAATCATCAATAAACACAAGTATGTACCTCTTTCCACTGGTTGAGGCAGGAGTGATGGGTCCACTCAAGTCTGTGTGTATCAATTGCAGCTTCTCCGTAGCACGCCAATTACTCTTCTTGGGTATCGCCTCTCTCTTTTGTTTTCCGATGGCACAAATCTCACACACAGAGTGTTTTTCTGCAACTGAGGGTAGACCTGTCACCATCCTTTTGTATAACATGGTTCTGATGGCTTTGTGGTTGATGTGTCCAAACCTCTTATGCCATAATTGGGTCTCTGAATCATTACTGACATGAAGACACTTCAATTTTTGAGACTGCAATGTGGCATTAACAGGAAACAACCTATTCTTTGTCATGTTGGATGTAATGATCAAACCCTTTTGAGGGTGAAACACCATGCAAACACCACCTTGAATAACAAAGGTGAGGGATTTTTCTTGAAGCTATCCAACACTGATGAGATTTGATGTTAGCAAAGGTACATAATAAACATTCGTAATGATCTGTGTTATGCCGTTCACAGTCAAGCAAACATCACCCTTTCCTTTGATTTCCAACCTGTGATCATTTCCTAATTTTACCTWGTGTTGATACGTCTCATCTATGCGAATAAACCACTCCTTAATACCCGTCATGTGGTTTGAACAGGCGGAGTCTAGAAACCAGAAACCCTCCTTGACGTG